AAAAGTGGAAAAAAACGAGAGGGAGGGAGCATGTGTTTTTGAGTGTAGAGCAGGCAACAATGAAAATATTTTGAAAATAAATCATTGACAGTTGTTTTTTTTGTAGTGTGACGCCGCAGTCCATTCACATAAAAATGAAATTTACTTTCCATAAATATTTGAAAATATGCGATCCTATTGCAATTCATTATGTTATTGGCCAGAGACCATATATTGATGATGATCATGCGGGGCAGCAGCCACAACACTGCTCTGTAAAACACACTTCGGATATCGTGAGTGATAAGTTGAATATCCTAAAAGATCATGAAGATATCATCTTTATTTTATATTTAATAGACTAGAAATGTATAATTTTGGTGACCTTGTTCCGAAATGCATCACCAGATACTGAGGCAGACATTACCTCTTTGGTTCGGAGGGAACGCAGGTAACTCTTCAGGTCTCCTCGCGTCATCAGCTCCATGATGACCAGCGTGGGTTGACCCTGGGAGACCACACCCAGGAGACGAACCTGCAACAAATACAGCACATTCCCATCAGGACAGAAAATCCCACAACCACGACACCTGGAAACTGTCAAACTATCTTGCACAAGAACTAGTCCCAAGTCACAAAACTGTCAAACTATCTTGCACAAGAACAAGTCCCGCAGTTCCTGAATGAGTTTGTTTGTGAGTTCACGTACCACGTGGTGACAGTTAAACTCTTTCATGACGGAGGCTTCATTGAGAAACTCTATTCTCTCCCTCATGCTAGCTGACTCATTGACAGTCTTGATGGCCACCCGTGTATCCGGCTCGTCTTTGACCACGCCCTTGGCCACGCCCTCATACACCATGCCAAACGAGCCCTGTCCAAGTTCACGACTCAGAGAGATCTTCTCTCGCGCCACTTCCCATTCATCCGGCACATACACTATACAGAAGATAAAAAATAAACAAACATTAAAAATCTGTGCTTATATATATAAAACTCTTCAAGTTCTGATCTTGAAGAATCACAACATTTTAACTCACTCTCTGCGGCACTGAAGTATTCTGGGTTAACAGACGCATATAAAACTCCATTTCCAAGGCGGTCACTGTTTCTGAATGAATGAAGAAAATAGAAAAACATTAGACTAGAACTTTTTGAGTTTTGCCCAAATTTCCCATGCCCAAGCAGTATACATTAATGTGTAACAAAATAAATTGTAATAGACATCATATCGTAAGTTGAGGGCATTGTTACATCCCTAGTAACAGCAGATTTGCTGCAAAATATATGTGGTTCCTCTGGGGCTCGAACCCAGGTCCTTCTGCATGTAAGGCAGATGTGTAAGCAGATGTGATAACCACTTAACTACAGAACCACCACACCAAGTGCCATAGTTTCTGAAACACTGCACATCGAGTATGTAAGTGAAGTAGTATCCAGCAGGTAAAGTGTAAATACTCACTGTGTCATACAAGTCAATACTAATCCCAGTGCAGTATTTTCAGCTTTATTTACTATAACTGTTACGGACAATTATTAATGTGTTTTCCTTTGGTGGGTTTGTGGTTTTAGAGTGTCGTGAGTTCTGGCGACTGATGTGACCACATTAACCACTAGAAAGAAAACATCATGTCTGTTCAATATTTGCAGGGCTTTTCCTTCTTCAGGTCCTTCATGCAGGCGCTCGTGGTTCCTGGTTACAGCAGTTTTCTGTGTCTTTGTGCATTGGTGCAAAACAGTTGACAAATGTTCAGATATTCAACCATGTGGAGCTTTACCGTTTCTTGTTGAAGACCACCAGCATGGTGATGAGAAGGCAGATGATGAGAATGATGGCGATGGGAATAAAGATCATGGTGTAGAGGACGTTTTCATATCCTGTTGTGATTTTTTTAAAATAAAACAAACAAATACATTGTTAGTTTGCAATCAACAGTCGCCAGCATTTATTTGCTATCAGATGATGACATGTGACATGATGTGTCTTACGTTCAGCCACATAGAGCTCCACGCTTTGTGTCCAGGAGCCGTTGCCAGCCAGTGATGTGGCCCTAACTCTGACCGAGTAATTTCCTGGACTGAGGTTAGAAAGCCGAACACCACGCTGGGCCTGATACATCGGACCAGAGACGCACTCGTGTTTCTCAGTCTGAAACACACACACACACAAGCAAAATAGGAGAAAGCTTGTTAGGGACAAAGCTGCTCTGTCAAAAAAACAAAAACAAAACTCCAAACCCTGCTGCTTTTAATTTTGTATGCAGTAAATAGCCAAAAGATTCATGGAGCCAAAACACCTCCTTCCCTGTCGCTGATAAATATTAGGACTCAGCACCGGTCACTGGGCCGTTTGTCTTCGTGTAACCATATGTCACAAAGCAAATGGCTGGTACCTTGCTCCAACTGTTATTTCCTAATTGTTTACTCTTGTTTAATGTCCAAATAAGTCAGCATGTCTTCATATATTGTAAGTTCTTTCTACTCCACTCTACATAGCTGTTGCAGGGTAAAACGTTGATTTTTTTAATCAACATTTTCACATTATCATTTTCATATCATTTTTAAAAGTATTTTGTCATAGGTCTTGTCCTACCTCAGCAGCCATCTTGAACTTGATCTCATACATAAGTATTAGTCCATTAGGGTGAGAGGGTTCGGGCCAGCGAAGAAACACCCAGTCTTCATGGCCCTCCCAGGTGACCGCACCTGGGATATCATCAGCTTTTTCTGGAGAACACAGACAAATTGGATACAAATGGACCATGGGGCAAACACATCTGGTGCTGGTAAATAAATGAAACCAAGAAGGTTTAAAAAAAAAAGAAAGAAAAAGAAAAAAAACCCAAGATTGAATTATCTTCTCACCAGCAGGTTTGGTTCTGGAGAAGACAAACTCTGCTGCGCTGCAGGTTTTAACCTGGTCATTGCAGGCATGAATGTCGATGCGGTAAACTGTAAATGGCTGCAGGCCAAAGATCTGCAGTTCTCGCTCTGTCACTGACTGGTCCATGAATTCGAACTCTCTATCTGCTGGGTCTAGGTCAGCGATGGTGCTGGTGTTACCGGCTCCATGGAGGGGAGGAATGGTGCTGCTGTTGGATTGCAGACGGTTGCGATGAGAGAAAGTAGAATTGGCCAGGCCGAAGAGGTCTCTGCGGCGGCGGTCTGCGGGCCTAGAGGTGAGACAATTCAAAATGTATGATATAATTTAGTAAAGAGTTTTGTTAGGGGAAGAAATGGAAGAAAATCATCTTAACACAAGAAAGCCATCTGACCCCGAAAAAGGAAGATATAAAATATGCAGTGTTTGATAATAAATGTGTTTTTTATATAGAAGTGGTGAATGAGTAAGAATGTAGGAGGGAGGTGCTCATGCTGAAAGGCTCCTCTGTGGGCTTTGTTTTTTGGTCTGCTTTCCTTCCAGAGTTAAAAGAAATCTTTCCTTGCTCTGCTGTGAGTGACTTTTGTTGCCATGTGGCAGTAATTTCACAAGCTGGGATGAATCTTGGTATGCATAAATAAAAGTGCAGAATAGCATAATTGGTTTGAGTTAATACAAGCAAAGTATACAGTGTACCATACCATGGCCACTGCAAGGACATTGGACCTAAGAGCAGGAATTGTTTTCCAAACAGCTTTTCATGCATTTGTGTTCAATTTCAGTTCAATCTGTGTTAGACCTTCATTTTTCCCTTGACAAAAAAAAAAAAGAGTTTTGTCTTGTGCAGGACTTTTTTTTTAAACACAGATCCAAATGTTTTGCCATAACAACTAATGAAAACCTTCTGACTTACTGAATAAATAACACTAAGAAATCCTACACATATTAAAGAAAGCATCTCTGATATGAACAATCCAACACAAATGTTTCAGGCAACAAAGCTGAACTGAAACAGCAAACGCAGCACAGTGACCTGTCTTCTTTCCATGGAAATAAGGGGATCATTTATTTCCACTGCACCTGCAAAACATTCTGGTAAATAATTAACATCAACTAGTCTGGGCCCCATGTGTGTGCGTGTGTGTGTGTCTGTGTGTTATGGTGATGTCTGATTATAGAGCACACAGAGTCCCTAAATCAGACAGTAGCATAAACATGTAGCACCACTGCTGTCGTGGACAAAAAAAAATTAAAGACAGCAACTGCTAAGCTGCGACATAATTCTAGGAAACCACTCTCAGTGACAGTTAAAGAAAGAAAAAGTTTAGTTTATTTAAAAAAAATAAAGGATAAATAATAAAAATCCATAAATCATATCCAATTATGTTGCTCAACAAAAATGTTTAAATTAGGCAAAGTAGAAAAGCTCTTTTTAAAGATAAGTTTTGGGTTTATTTTTATTATTGTCAAACACAAGAACATCTGGTCTGTGTGGGTTCACCTTCTGTTACCCATGCAAATTAAAATGAAAGTGAAAGCCCTCGGCTCAGGCCACACGATGTCTGTTTTTGTGTCTCTGTGGGATTGCTGCAGTGATGTTTACTTGCCAACACAAACAATTAATTAATGCTGAGCTTATTTAGTTGAAAAAAACGAACAAAAACGTCTAAAAAACGCACCTAAAGCAGTTATAAAGAGAACAACAAACTCATGCGTATCTTACCTTGGTGTGAAAATGGAATTGTGCAGGAAGTTTTCAAAGGCTTTTCGGTACGAAGCATCGGCAGCTTCAGCCTCTAGGTCCTCCACTGACTTTGGGCATGGGCAACAGGGCCCCTTGTCTGGCCCCTCATGATCTGGCTTTGTAGGCTTGGTGTCTTCTTCTGGGTCTCCCACACCAGTGGCAGCGATCCTTATGGGGATCTTCAGCTCTAAAAGAGAAAAATATATATTTATATACAGTATATTTATCTGTTTTGACCAATTTTGGCTGATTTACAAAGTCAAAATACTTTTTGTGCATTTCATTATTTCACTATTTCGATAAGCTGCTGCCTGAATAAATAGTTAATGTATTACCACAAGGGGGCAGCAGTAGCGTGTTTTTGATAGGATGTCATGAGAGATAAAAGTTACTGAGTTTCCTGAAGCAACTCTAACTGGTTCCTTTGAGCTCCTTTCCTGTAAACAAATCTCCCTGTAAATGTGCTGCGTGTTTTCCTGCAAAATGAAACAGTCCTGTTTTTCTTTCTTTTCCCTCAGATCACATTACTGTAAAATGACTTCAGTTGCCATTATATACCTTTTCTTTTTAACAGAACAACAAAACTTGAGACCATTTATAAATGGGCAGCTGCAGCTGTTACTAAAAGCGGGGTTACCCTTTCACCAAACATGTATTATGGGGAAACCAATATCACTGAGCACACAGCAATAACACATCAATATGAAACTCTGTGATTATTTGCTGCGGCACAAGTTGTACTGCACAGTTTTAGCAAGTGCACCATACCTTTGGAGCAGTAGTTGTGCTGGTAAAGCTCTCTGTCTTCGGGCTGCTGCTGCCATCTGACCAGGTAGTATGTCTGGTTTCCATTTGGTGAAACCGGAGGTGACCAACGCACCACCAGCTGCGTGGAGGAGTTAGAGTATGCTCGCACATCCTGGGGCATAGAGGGCGCTGAGAGAGATTTAAAAGAAAATGGTGTTGTTGAGGGGATTTGGAGGGAGGAGACAGAGAGAGAGAACGACAGGGAGAGAAAGACGAGGGGGGGCGAGAGAAAGATTGTAATCTAAACTCTGTCATCTGTGTGTGACTATTGATAAACCAAAATTCTAAGAGTCCAGAAGTAAACCTCTGTTCTTCAGGGTGGGATAGAGTGCCTGCCAGCACAGATGTGATTCACTGACATCACAGAACCATGTCCGTCCAGTGCAGCTGGACTTACTTTCAGCTGTCTTCTACTTCATCTTATTGTATTATACTTTTTGTAAATACATTTTTGTCCATCTCTTTGAGAAGCAGCTGTGTTTATTGGGGGGGGGGATTAAATCTACAGATGGGATAATGTTTCTAGGCTGGCGTGCATTTTAAAAACACGGATAACATGGAACGCAACATCAGCAGTGAAAATACGTCAAACATCGCTGTGTAACAAGTAACGCCTAAATTTACCAGTAACGCCTAAAGGACGGCATTTACCTGAGGGGCTTGTGCGAATGTAGACCACTTTGCTTTTGGCACTCGGCACATGTTTGTCCTCCACCATTAGCGTAATAGCTTTGACAAAGATGGCATATTGTGTCCAGGGTTTGAGACCAGAGAGCAAAACTCCAGGATCCTTGTCTTGTCTCAGCTCCACATCCACCATGTTCCAGCTATTGGAGCCACAGCCGTCTTGCCCCTCAAATTCAGTAATGTTCTGGTACGGCCTGGGGGGGAGACAGTTACTAAATAATTAGCAAATAATGTCTTAATGAAAAGGAAAACCTTTTGGTCGTTGAAAATTAGAAATGTATTCTTATGTCTGTTGTTAAATGTAATCTTATATCAAAACAAAACACTTGTTGTTTATTCTCATACGATTGAATTTTTTTTAAATGTACCATCACTGCAGATAAACTGGAGCTTGTAAATGTCTTCATTACAAAATGTAATTACTGGGGCTGCACTTACGCCTCCTTGTAGTACACAATGAAGCTGATGAGGTCTCTGTAGTCTGGAGGTCGGTACCGTTGCCAGTTGAGTTTGATTCTTGTGCTGCTGGTGGAGTTTGACTTGAACTTCAGTATGGTGCTTTCACCTTGGAGGCAGACAGGATGGAGTTAATATCAAAGCACTTCAATATGTTTGTGTTAAAATGTGCACCAATTAGTCTTGTTGACAGAGGATTGCAGTAAACATGGTCACGTGAGGCAGGCATTTGCTTGCTGCTAGTATACTACGGTTTTTTTTTCCTGCACATGTCTGTATATAGCAATTTAGATTTTTGTGGCTTCAACACTGAAGCTCATTTGACCCTTACAGCTGGCTCGATCCCCGTTGTTTCTGAAATCGCTCTCATCAAAGCGGCCCTGGATGCCCGTTTTCTCCCACATGCTGCGGATCTCAGACATGCAGAGCTTTGGGTTGGCTCTAAAAAACAGCTTCCCTGTTTTGATGGTCAGATTGTGCTGCTTCCAGTCCCACAGATACTGGAGCTGCTGGTTGTCAAATGCTGAGAAGGCGTACATGCTGGAGGGCAGAAAGAAAGGACGGATGAATAAATGTGAGTAAAAATGTTTTCTATCACTTCCCTTAATACGTGTCTTAATAACAAGTGGGCGACAAACGGAAGAGGATGAGTTACTATACCTTACCAAATCAAAAAGGAGAGAAGAAAAAAGGAGAAGAGAAGAAGAAATGAGACAGGAAATGGGAGCAAATACTATGAAAAGAAAATGTAGAAGAACAGAAGACAAGAGGGGACAGGAGGGAGAACAGGAGAAAGGAGACTAGAGGACAGGAGAGTAGAGGAGAGGAGGAGAAGACTTTTTCATGAGTCAGTGGGTAACACCCAGACATTCTGGAATGACAGAAATCTGTGCTTTGGGACACAGAGATTCCTGTGAACTCAAGGAGAAACAGACAGAGAGACAGAGGAGGGAGTGAAGGCCAGTCCATGACCCTGAGAAAACCTTTCCTTGGACTGTTTAGCTCAATTCTGGGCCTCAAAATAGGGGGGGAGGGATCAGATTTGATTTAAGTTTTAGCAGTTTGCTTGGAAAACACAACTCTTATTTGGAACCCACAGAAAAATAGGGATGTTTACATTCCTGTCGCCTTTAGCTGTGTCAAAACAACATTTCAGTTTTAGCCTTCACTTGTAAAATCAACAGACACATTCAGACAATGGACCTTGGTATGTTTGAGAGGAACTTTTGTTTGTGCCCCTGTAAAATCTTCTTAATGAAATGTAAAACAAAAGTAAAAGTAATAAACCAACCAGTATTGTGTGTGTGTATATATGTGTGTGTGTCTTACTCATCCAACAGTTGTTCCCCATCAATGTATTTGAGACTGCGGAGGAAAGCTAAGGAGCTCAGAGTGTGAGAGTGTCTGATCCTGACGTAACCTGTCACCCTTTGGATCAGTCCTGTGAAACTCTCCAGCTCTGCCACGATGTTGTCTACATACAAACAAAGACAAACACACACGTAAAAAGTTTGTTTTTTAATTAAAATGTCTATCTATTAATTGTTAATAGCTTTATCACATTAATTTTAACAAACTACAAGGTATGGAGAGAGAGAAAGAGAGAGAGAGAGAGAGAACAACTGAATTGTGGAAACTACATTTTCCTTTTTTATTAACTTGATCATACAGGTATCACTGACGGCCAAAATGATTTGTCTGATTCCTGTAAATAGCGCCAGCTAATGGATAATATACTGAAAACTTAACAACAACAAAAATAAAAGAACTAGTAGATGAGGAACGAATTAATGTAAACATAAACCTCAAACTTCTGTTTGCAAGCACAAAGCTGCACATTTACTACTTGTTTTGATCAACGTTATAAGAGACAGCATTAGGACTGGAAAATGAAATCTAGCTGCTGCAGATAGTCTGGAGGCACAAGTCCAAACAGTGCTTTCAGACCAGATCAGTGATCCTACTGCTGGTGTTTTGTGTCACACAGAGGCCATCCAGGCATCCTGTTCTACAACGTGCACCATTAAAAACACACTTCTACCATTTTCTTCTGCAGTCAGTTCAGCAGCGGTTGTCAGCTTTGCTCACTATCATATGTTAGAATGCCATGCATCTGTAAGCCTCTGGTATTTCTACTTCTTTTCAACGCTCTAGGTGCCATTACGGTCAGGCAACAGAAGAAATGTCAGGATGTGTTGCACAGCTGTGTTTCTGTGCTCTGCTGCAGTACTTACGGCCTCTACGGATGTTGATGTGCAGGTTGCCTTTGATAACAGTGCAGTCTTGGAGAGACTGAGCAGCATCCACGGAGTCGATGATCTTCTCTCCGCACACTTTATCACACGGGCCATCACAGGCTTTACAGTACGTGCTGGAGTCAGACAGACAGTGAGAGTCATACATGATACACAATGGTCACTGACAATGGTTTTTACATTAAACAGCTAGATTCAGATTTTGAACTTGAAATTATCAATGGTCACTGACAATGGTTTTTACATGAAACAGCTAGATTCAGATTTTGAGATCCCCCCCCCCCAAGGGTGCCTCTATGCAAGTCCTAGCCCACAACTCACCTGTTGGGTGCAGTGCGCGTGTACCCTGACGGGCATTCACCCATACACCCTCTGTCGTGGATGATGAAGACTTTGTTCTGTTGATTTATGAATTTAAAGCAAGTCTCTGCACTGATGCAGCGCCAGCCTTCAAACTTGTAGGTTCCAGGAGGGCAGTCAGACACACAACGTCCTTCGTAGTAGTAATGCACACAAGCGGCGCACGCTGTATCACTATCTGGAACCGTGCAGCTGCCGAGACACTGAGGGTGGCAGCACTCGCCATCTGCGGTGCACACTTGTCGTTCACACCTCTGCGGACACTCTGTTAGGAAGAGAGTAGAAGATGAACCCTGGTTGACAGATGTTCTTTTTTTTATTTATGTTCACATGATAGTTAGAGAAAGAAATAGAAATTAGATTCAAATTTGAACTCAGCTTAAGTACGACAATGCCAATGAAAAGATAGGAGTACAGCAGCTATCAACACTCAGTTGACCCCAAAGTGGGTAAAATGTCTGGATAATAAAACATTGATCCAGAGTCCAGAACATGTCATGCTGCATCCTAGTTACCACGCAGCAGCCAATGAGAAGAATGATGCCTCAGATACAGATTATTATTGGCAGGTTGATCATTGGCATGCTGCTGTTTAATTAATGTAATAACCACACGTATATATTTATATTATATTTAGCTCAATAGTTAATTTTTTTTTTACATATATATATATATATTATATTTAGCTCAATAGTTTTTTGTTTTTTTTAGAAAATATAAGAAATACACAAACAGCAAAAGATAGTTTCGTTCCACTCAGTTCCTAGTGGTTATCTTAGTGCAATAAAGCTCCTGTGATCCGGGGTATTCCATTCCGGGTTTTCCAACATGCACTGTTGCAAATAACTGTGAGATGCTGTGGTGTCCCTCTAAATAGGAGGATACAGTAACCAATGACAGGAAAAACTGATTGGGAGCTACTGAGAGAAAATAAAAAAACTGGATTGACGCACATATGGAACGGAGCTGCATCTAGTGGCATCTTTTGTCTATTTAGCAAGAAAATTATAAAGGAATACACAGAAGACAAAGAGCAACAAACAATTTTTTTTAAATAACAAACTACACGAAGAATGACACACTCTGAATAAATAAGGACTTGTTTGTGGGTAGAGTTGTCCTCTCTAAGCTAACATTCCAAAGAAGTATGAACAACAGAACTTCAGTAGAAGCCCAACCCAATCCCATTGTCATGGAGAAAGAATCAGAAAGTTGGAAAAAATACAGGTTAGCAGCTGCTACTTTGAATGTGGACTGGTTGAAAGAAAAGGTCATTCACCAATACTTTAAAATGTTCACACTGTGTGGAGCAGAAACAAACCTAAACTGTTGTGGAACAACTTATAATCATTGCCAGAAGTTATTTGTGTGTGCGTTACTGATTCATGTCCTGTGGGGCACAAACAAAGAAGAATGAAAATTGAAAAAAAAAACAAAAACTAAACTATGATGAACCAAAGACTGTAATTTAGATTTCGTCATCTGCTTAGGTTAACTCAGGCCTGTGTTTAAAAAGAAACCAAGCAAAGTGAAGGAAATTATGTTTTGTTTATCGGACGCTGACAGATTAAAAACATGGACACGCTACAGCATGTTTCCTCCATTAGTTTGTAAATTAAACGGGATATACCAGACCAAAGGATGCGTCTCCTCCTACTGTTGTAGTATATTTTAGTGATTAACACAAAATCTAGGCAATAATCAGCAAATTATATAAGTATTATATTATATCAGTTCATTGTTACATTTTATGACGCAGAAAAACATTTTTAGTCTTCGAATTGGCTAAGCTTCACAAAGTTAGTACTGCTTGGCCTCCACCGTGCTTCTTCAAAGGGTTTTGAAGACAGAGCGCAGCATCATTAGATTTGCATTACTGCCACCTGCTCCGGCTACATTCTCTAGAAGCCACTTCTACACGCATCACTTGCAAATGAATCAGAAAACAGAAAATACAGATAAGGGAAATGTCACTACAGATGAGCATTTCACTGGAAACCTACTTTGTGACATTGATACAGATAAGGGAAATGTCACTACAGAAGAGCATTTCACTGGAAACTTACTTTGTGACATTGAAAAAAAAAAAAAGAAAAGAAATTAGATCACTTGTGAAGATAATGCAGTACAACTGTTGCTGTCTTATGTAATTATTTATGAGCAGTTACACTTGAGGAAGGAGAAGTGAAATGTGCTCAAGCGAGTGTTTTTGTGTTTATTATGCCCACACACACACACACTGATTGTGGTGTACTTCATCCATTGATATTTAAGAAGCAAGATGTGAAATTTTAGTGGTAGCGTTGAGGTCTGTGGTTGCTGAATAAAGCGGTGGTCAGATAAAGTACTTTGCATCTACGCAGTTGAGTCGAGCTGCTGTCACACTTGGACAGGGCAGTGTGTCTGGACGTTTGTCCTTGTCCCAGATTAAACCAGCAGAGGAGGGGAAAAAAAAAAAAAAACTTTCTACAAAATTACGCACTACTTTACTATAAAAGGTAGGAATAGTTATCCTTTTCGCCGAAAATTACGCACTACTTTACTATAAAAGTAGTCCTTTTCACCAGTTAGGATTTGACTATCTCTGGTTGCCATGCCGACTGATACATTGAAAGACAGCATCATCATTTAATGTATTTTTACGTGCCGATAATTGTTTACGACTGATGTGGAAGCTATCCTTTGTGGTAATGATGTTATTTGAGGGCAGACAGCGTCACTATTTATTCTTGGAGTGAACCCAGAACGTTAGCACATGCTGCTTATGCTATTTTTGGATTCAAAGCCTGGGGAAACGTGCAAGTAAGAGACCGAACATGCAGGAGTAGGTTCACTCTTAAACCAAGTATAAATAGTACCGGAGTTAGTCAAACTGAGTTCATTTATTTTCATGAGCACTTCTATATTAAAGATCTACCTTGTCCAAAACAGCAAAATGCAAACAGATCCTAATAAACCTAACACTTAAATAAGTGTGTGTATATATATGCCCCCTTCTGCAAACCAACTCTAAATTCAGAAACACATCTATATTGGATCTCTACTGTACAAGTCATCAACAGGCAATGGGAATTGACCTTCACTCTGATGGACACATAAGCAAATAAGAGCAGTCAGACTGTGTGATACCACCAAATATTCAGGGATGTTCCAGCTCAGAAGGAGCTGTGCCGCAAATTCTGGGTACTGAATGTTCTGTCCCTGTGCTAAGTCTCTGCCACTCTCCAACTCAATTGTGCCCCCCCTGACCTCCAGTTGAAGATGAGGGAATCCACAAAGAGAGTAATTTTGCATTAGCTTGTCTGAGGAGCGCTAAGGGAGACAATGTGATTAATTTTGAATGGAGTTGAACTCAGGACTGAGCACCTATTCTGAAATGTCCTCAGCACTGACTGCCACAGTGCAGGTCAGGTCAAAGAGAAAACATGTAAAAAACCAAGTAACGTGATCTCATTAAATAAACAGATGAATAAAAATAAGCACCTTATATAATACATTTTTATTTTTAAAAAAAGCATGAAATTAATGGCATATCTGCATGTATCAATAGTGTCTCGTTGGTGTGTCCAAAATACATGTACAATCTATTGTTGTATTGAATTTGTAAGCAATAGTAAGCTTCATGAAGATTGACAAAAAATATCAGGATGAGGCCTCCGCTGCTCCTGGGAATACTTTGATGCACCAAAAAAAAAAAAAACTGTAAAGGCTCTATTACAAAAAAAAAAAAAAACTCTTTATTGTTTAATTCAATTTAATGAGCACCTTTTCCATTCTGTCATTGCAGGGTTGTGGTAAAAAAGATCACTGCTGTGGTTAAAAAAAAAAAAAAAAAAAAGCCAACACAAGGCTTTCAGGGAAACAGAAATACCAGCCCAGCAGGAAGGTCAGCTGGGAAATGCACGCCAGCCACCAGCTGGAAAGCAGGAAAATGTCTGGTTGTTGTTTCCAAACTAATTTACCCGACCAGCCACTTAAACAAGTAACAAGCATTAAAAGCCAAAAGAAACTCAGGTCTTATTTGATTGTGTATATTTTACACACTGCCTAATAAACGAACATGGTGTTTCAACTTATTTTTTTCTCTCTCTTTCCTCCTCAGTCAATTAGAAGCCAGTGGCCTTTAGGCAGCTAATCTGTTACGGTCGCACTTTTTTTTAAGGTGCTAGAAACTAAATGTACTACAGAAATTACACCGTGATGACACTACAGACCTGAACAGAAGTAGTTGTTTTTGTTTGCTTCCCAAACTAAAATCCTACTTAATTTTTCTGATGTGATACAGCAAAACACCAGAGACAAATGTTAATTGCCCACCTACTGTCATGATAACTCTTCTTATCTTTGAAGTAGAAATGACTTCAATGTGGTATAGAAAGGGCAAAAATCACAATTTGTTTTGAACAATTGACTTACTGTCCCAAAACTAGTACAAATTGGTCAATTTAAAAACAAGAGGATATAATATAATTATTGATTGTAAACTCAGTCTTATTTCTACTTTTCAAAATTACTAAAGTACTGTAGCTAATATTAATTATTGGACAGGCACATTACATACAAGCATTGTTCGCCTTTATTAAAACGTAACTCTTGCCGTTTATACACACAGGACAAAGGACTGTACTTTATATCCTCTTCATGTCCAGGTTAGGATTTTTCAGGCTAAGACACGCATGCACACCGTGTTTTACGTGGTAATATGTGACTTCATTGTGTGTCTTAGTTAATTAATTTTCCTCTCAGAATTCCTGAATTCTCTGATCACTGTTGGTGGTTCTGCTAGACATTTTCTTTCCTTCTAAACATGTTGTTGATGTAATTGTAGAGGCACAAATTTCTATGCTGTTACTATAGTGAGTATAAACGTGGCACCAGGAAGACACACCTACATATCTATTACCATCCTTGCCCGCATTATTATTAACAGGAGTCAGGACTTGGAGACAATGAGTAACACCTGATGACAGACATCAGGTTTTTTTTTCCCCCTGTAAACTAAAAACAACAGGCAGTGCTTACAAGTTCTGACTGGTCAGTACAGGTAAAGAGGTGCAGATGTCCTACATTCCCCCATTGCAGTTGCTTATTACAGTGAGGTCAGAGAGAAACTGAAACTTTGGGTGAATAACATACAATATGAGAAATTTGATGCCTCCCTCCCTGGCAGATTCTTAATAAAGTGAGATCAACACAGGGTGTGGTAGAGCTGTTGCCTTTGGCCTTGTCTTGTTATGGCAATGGTGTACCTTGGCTCCCAAGAGT